GGGGGGGGTGCCATAGCGACCAATCAGAGCCGCGAGCCGCGTGAGTGGAGTGCGAGCCGACGAATCAGATGGCCGGAGGATGAGCTTCCCGTAGCGTACTCTTCCCTGTAGCCTCCAGAGCCAGATCCCAAACCTGGGGCGCTGTACCGCTGAAAAGCGAAATGGTGCCCTAAAGACAGAAGGATTATTTCTCTAGTCTTGGGTATTTTTAAGTAAATACCTTGAGTACTTATCCCAGAGCAAATAGCGGCGGCCTTTTAGATGCTGAGTATGAAAAGGATCACAGAGAAGAGATTTAAGAGGCAGTGGCCTGCCAAGACTGCAATCTTCCTAATAACGTTAATAAATTTACAATATTTATTGAGACCTTTTTATAGGCCAGGAACGGTATTAGAGAAATACAAATAAGATACTGCTGATCCAAAGAGGAAGAAAAGTTCCCTGTCCTCAAGAAGCTCAGCTTCTTCTAAGGAGGTTTGCTGGACCTTGTGCCTCTGTCTGATATTTATTGTCAGCCTTTAAACAAAAAGTTCTCCATGAAGTAGTTGGCAGTCATTTTTATGATTATCTTCCTGTAATAAGAAAAAATTGAGAAAAATGTAGAGTGACTTATCTAAGGTCACACAAAAAGTATACTAGCAGAGCCAGAATTATGTTCTAGCTCAGAGAGCTTAGATTTCGTCATTCAACAATTGTTTATTGAATGCATGGTTGCTATCCTCCGCTGAAGAGGTTTCTGCACTAAGCTTATAAACAGAACAAAATTCTGCAATAAAGGCCACACGCTTTGGTTTTTGGAAATGAACAGAAATTTTAGGCGTATGCTACATTAAGATTGGTTAAAGGCCAAAGTCTTATCAGTCATACTCTAGATAATTTTTAGAAGTCAGAGATGAGGTGAATATTTACTTTTTAAACAGCATTTTAAAAAATATTTTAGCAAGCATGTTTAATTCTAAAGCTTATCTTGTATAATACTTTAAGATCTCCAAGTTCAAAGCTTTACTTTACATTTGCCTCAAAATATCTGGGTTTTTATCTGGCCTTCATTTTCCTTTCCAAAAACCTAGAAATTAAAATACTTGTCTTCTCTACCTCCTTCTGAACAACAACAAAAAATCTGTCCAAAGAATGTTTGTCCAAAATTTAGTGCATTTTTATAGGACAATATAATACATATTAAAATACCAAATAACTTTGGTGTCTCTAGAATACATTCAGAAACTAGTTCTTCAGCGATTCCAAGTGTGCTCTGTTGGGTCAACGTGCTTCTTGGCCTGTGACCGAACGCTGTTATCAAAGCCCTTTCCAGGACGTGCGCAGGATTTAGCTGCCATCTCAGAACTGGAAGTATCAGTTAAAACAACTGACCTTTGAGAACAAATATTTACATATTAAGTTCCAGGTCAATAATGAATTTCCAGGGCCGCCCCGTGGCTTGGTGGTTAAGTGAGCGCGCTAAACTGCTGGCGACCCGGGTTCGGATCCCGGGCTCGCACGGACACGCTGCTTCTCCGGCCATGCTGAGGCCGCGTCCCACATACAGCAACTAGAAGGATGTGCAGCTATGACACACAACTATCTACTGGGGCTTTGGGGGGAAAAATAAATAAATAAAATCTTTAAAAAAAAAAAATAATGAATTTCCAGAAAATTCACAACAGTCCCAGCTTTTAAAAAATACATTTCTCTTTGGGGCCGGCCTGGTGGTGCAAGCGGTTAAGTGCACGCGCTCCACTGTGGCGGCCCGGGGTTCGCTGGTTCAGATCCCCGGCGCGCAACACCACACGGCTTGTCAAGCCATGCTGTGGCTGCGTCCCATATAAAGTGGAGGAAGATGGGCATGGATGTTAGCCCAGGGCTAGTCTTCCTCAGCAAAAAGAGGAGGATTGGCAGATGTTAGCTCAGAGCCGATCTTCCTCAAAAAAAACAGAAGAAAAAAAAATACATTTCTTTTCCTCTCTCCACGGGGGAATATTACTGAAACTCTACCTTCCTCTTGCCGGGTTAAATTCTAAGGGAGAAAGTATCCCCAAAAGGTTCTAAACATCACTGGCCACCAAAAGATATCTCTGTCAAAGGATGTTTTCTCCACAAGCTCCAGCCTCTCCCACTGCTGCTGGGCCCTCTCTCTCTATTCACCTTTGCTCCCTGCCTCTGCCTCTGATCACTCCTGGTTTCTGATGTTTGTTTAAGCAAGTACAAGTGCCCCACCACTTGCTTCACCCCTCCTTCACCAACTAGGCTTGAGAACTATCTTTGCTTATCCAAAAACTTACAGACAAGTTCCGCTCAACAAAACATTGTACAGAACATTCTTCATGACATATTACACTGAGAACTAATAGAACCTTGTTAGTACATTTTATTCTTTTACACAGCCTGGGTCAAATTCTTAGTCATCAACCAGAGCTGTGGGGTATTGGGGGTGGAGCAAGGAGGAGTCAACCATTAGACAATGGAAAAGACCAAAATGAAAGCTAAGTGAGCACATGAGTAGCCATTTTATTGAGAGATTAGCTAGATCAGAGTTAATGAACTTGAATACTAACATTTCCAAAGGTGTGAGCATTCATATAGGAACTAGTTTGAAACTTACTACCATTTTATTAATGACTGTGATAAAAATAACAGCCAAGGTGTAATATTGCTGAGTGCCAGACTCCATGATAAACTCTTTACCTCCATCATTTAACTCTCAAATCAACTGTTTGAGGTGGACCCTATTGTCACAGTGGGGAGATGTGTGGGGTCACAGAGAAGGGTTGAGGAGGCTCTCAGGAGAATCAGCAGCAGCTACTGACTAAATAGTTGAGAAATTTTTCCATCTCTCCCAATGTGGACCGACTGAATGTCAGCCCTGGAAACATTCTTAACATTTAATTGTTCTTGTTTTCTAATTGTCGCTCTAGCTACATTTTAGGATTCCATTTCACAGCAAATCATCCAAAAGACAGCACTGTTATTGCTACATGCAAGATGTGACCTTGCATTTTACCCATTTGGGCCTTAGTTTTCTCATCTGTAAAATAAAGGAGTTGGACTAGATAAGTTTTAGTTGTTTGCCAGTTCTAAAACTATATATCTACCAGCTTGACACACCATTGACAGTAAGTACAACAACGAAATATGGAAAAATAGTCTATATTTTCAAATCCAATAAATGTTTTAACTCACTTTTGAGCCAACCCCTTAGATAGAAACTCTATCTACACCCGCTCATTAAAGAGCCAGAGCCAGTCTTTCCAATCAGAAGAGTAAATGAAGTGATTGATTTAAAGGCTGATGAAACTAACCAAACCATCCCTCCCTATGACTTGCTTCTGTGGCTGAAATTTCTGTCTTCTCTGTTGGGGTAAAGTATCATATAGTTCACACTGTTAATTTCTTATTCAACATCCACCCCTGTTCCTTCCTTATTAATCAAGTTCCTTGTTTTTGTTTTTGTTTGTTTTTTAGGTAACCATCCAACCTCCAGCTGCAGAAAGGCAACTCAATTAGCCTGAGTCAATCAGTAAATGAATTCCCTGGTATGGTAGGGACTTGTAATGCTTACCCAGGCATATACAGACATTACATTTTCACACATAGATCCCTGCCACCCACCCCCACCCTTGTAGTTGGCTGAACCATGTGACTAGTTATAGCCACTAGAGCCATAGACTATAGTGGGTTGTGGGAAGAAGTGATATGTGTCACTTCCAGGTAAAACATTTAATTGCAAGTATAAGTCCTTACAGTGTTTACTCTTCCCCAGCCACAGGACCCGTATTGTTGAAGATAATAAAGCCTTTGTCAGCCTAAGTCCCCAAGAAAGGACAGTGTAGAACAGCCCACCTCCCACCCTCATCAAGTCAGGATGGATATATAGTTTGAGTAAAAAATGCAAGTTTGTTGTTTAAGCCACTGAGATTTGGGGTTATTTTTTTACTGCAGTATGACCTAGAATATAAATTATGCTAGGTCCTACATTATTCTAATTAATACACCTGAAAACCATTATAGTCCTGGGGTAAACTGGCACAGTCGGACTGAAGGGAAAGATTTTTAGTCCGTGCTTAGGGGAGAAGATTCTCTCTTTCCTACCAGGTATGAACAAGTCAGCCTATAACCCAGATTGCCAGTGGCAGCAATCTAACAACCACAAGAGGAACTAACCTTAGAATGAAGTCAGCACACTAGGATGGCAGAGAGAGAGAAAAACCCTTGAAGATATTATTGAGCTGATGGTTGTATCTCTCCTGAAGGCTAATCTTCTCTGAACTTCTAATTCTGCAAAATAATAATTTGTTTGCTTCTCCATAACACTGTAAGCAGAAACTACATCTTGTATATCTTTAGTTTCATCGCAGTTCCTAAGACAGATCTGGCTCAAGAAGCACTCAAAAATATTGAATGAATTAAAATTTTTAAAAATATAATAGCTCACACTCTTGCCTTCAGAAGTAAAATATTACCTGCATTAACAAGGGGAAAAAGTAATTTGATTCAACCCAATCTTTTTACAGATGAAGAGATTGAGACTCAGATACGTTACAAGATTTATCAAGTTCACGTAGCTTTGTTATGGCAGAACTGAGGGAAAAAAGCACCTAGTAATTGCTTCATCAAAAATGACCATAGTGGGCCGGCCCCGTGGCTTAGCGGTTAAGTGCGTGCGCTCCGATGCAGGCGGCCCGGGTTCGGATCCCGGGCGCGCACCGACGCACTGCTTCTCCGGCCATGCTGAGGCCGCGTCCCACATACAGCAACTAGAAGAATGTGCAACTATGACATACAACTATCGCCTGGGGCTTTAGGGGAAAAATAAATAAATAAAAAATTTAAAAAAAAAAAAAAAATGACCATAGTTTCCAACTCAAGATAGAGAAGTAATGAGACAATATATTACCCTGGTAGTTAAAAATTTTGAAGTTAAGACAAATATAGCTTACTTACTAGTTATATGATCTTGGACAAGTTACTTAACCTCCCTAAGCTCTGGTTTTTCTATCTGTAAAAGAGGATAATAATCCCTAGCTCAGAGACTTGTGAGGAAAAAATGACTCAACATATAAAAAGCATTTAGCTTAATGCCTGACACATAAACATTCCATATGTTGCAGTCCTATCAAATGGTGTTTATTCATAGCTAAATCAGTTTTTTTACATTAGGATAGATCTTGTTCTCCATCATTCATTTAATTCAGACCACTGGCCTGTGTTTTTCCATCATGTATAATTATGGTGTAGATTATACAATTGTGTAGCCAGCACCCAACTTTCCTATAGGAACTGGCCCTCCCATTTCCACACTTTTGTCTTATGATGGCAGCAGGAGAAGCCATGTTACTGCTGACTATCCCTTGGCCACAGCTAATTGGTCAAGAGGTGGATACCTGACCCAAGATGGCCAATGAAGCCATTCCTCCAAGAATTTTAGACTTTGGAAGAGAGGTCATCTCAAGCCTCACCTAGATATAAAATCTGGGAGATGTCACTGGACATGTTTTTTTGCCAAGTGGAAAAACATATTCTGCATTGAGAATAGAGTCAATGAACAGAGGGAAGCAGACAGGATGGAGAAAGTGTCTTTGTTATACTGGAATTCCCATTTCCAGGTTTTCTTGACCATTGACAGAATCTCTGCCTTTTCTTCTGCTTAGACTTGCCTCTTCCAAGAGTTTCCCACATATCCTTCTAATATATTCCCCATTTTGCATAAGCTAATTCCAGGTGGGTTTATTTTAGATGCAATTAATGTAATGATATGTTATATGATGTTATCATAAAGTAAAGAATAAGAGGGAAAATCCTTAGATTCATTATCTTTATTAACAACTTGAGAGATACCTCTAAGAATATGATCATCAAGTTTATAAAAAGGAATCAATAAATTTTTATCAAATGCCAACTATATGTAAAGTACCTGTGTCAGAGACTTCAAATTACCCCCTATATGTATTCTCTCATTCTTCCATAATAACTAACACCCTGCTTCTTAGATGGTCCTATTGCCACTCAGCTAAAATCTTATATTTCCCTGGGCCGGCCCCGTGGCTTAACGGTTAAGTGCGCGCGCTCCTCTACTGGCAGCCCAGGTTCGGATCCTGGGCACGATCCTGGGCGCGATCCTGGGCGCGCACCATCGCACCACTTGTCCGGCCATGCTGAGGCAGCGTCCCACATACAACTAGAAGGATGTGCAACTATGACATACAACTATCTACTGGGGCTTTGGGGAGAAAAAGGGAAAAAAAAAAAAAAGGAGGAGGATTGGTAATAGATGTTAGCTCAGGGCCCGTCTTCTTCCTTAGCAAAAAAAAAAAAGGAAGATTGGCATGGATGTTAGCTCAGGGCTGAT